CCCCCTCGAAAGCAATTGGGCTATTTTCAGGCTAGTTTTGAGTAGTAATTGGGTGGGTTTTGTAGCGAAAACCTGGCAACTCTGCGCCAGACAGAGCTGTCCGCGATTCTTCCTATTGTGAAGTCATGCAATGTGAAAACCCCTGTCGCCGATCCATTGTACAATGTGAACAAAGCAGCAACTGAATGCTACCCCAGATAGTCATGCAGTGTGAAAACAACAGTGAACAGTGAAACACTTTCAGGCGGATTAAAATCTGATCGCTCAAACCACTTCAGGAGATGGTCTAGGATGCATTCCAGACGAAACTTACAAGTGTAAATGCATCTGGTTGTTGAAGCACGCTATAGGCTATAGAGACATGTCATAGCCAGAATAATAATAATAATTTTAATGATAGGCTATTATTTTAATACATTCATTATATACTAATCAGTTAAAAGTATATTGGGTCCGTGGATAAACTCTTAAAGGGACCGCAGTCCAATATTTCTGCTGCTGTCTGTCATGTTAATCAAAGAACAAAAGACAAAGAAAATCACTTTCTGCTCTTGACTGAATACGTTTTATAACTTTAATGGTAAGCATTAATCTGTATTTAATTTTTACAATGAAGACTACAGAAATTAAAGTAATCAAATGTAAAATAACACTGGATGTGTTATTTTACATTTGATTACTTTAATTTCTGTAGTATTTCTTACCTGAATAAAAACTTACTTAACCTGAAAAACTTAGTTTCATAGCTCTCTTTATTCTATTGCATTTATTTGTGCTGTTGTTTGAAATTTTTTTTATTTGTTCTTATTTTATTACTGACTTTATACTTGTGTTTTTTTAAATGAAAACACAACTTTATTATATTGAAGAAAAGTAGATTTTTGTTTGTATATGCTGTCAATTATAGTTCTTAGAAAGAAAATTGGAATCTGCAAAAATCGTTATCGGCAGATCAGCCTAACAAAAAAATCGGAAATCGGAATCGGCCAAGAAAATTGCAATCGGTGCATCTCTAGTTGTCACTGTTGCTGTCAGTGTGGACCCACAGTGCTGTATATTATGCTGTATATTGCTCCACCTGCTGGAGACTTCATCGCTTCACTCCGAGGAACATCATCAGTAATACTGTAGTAGGTTATGTCCTTGATGGGATCCTGTGGAGAAAGGGATTGTATAATAAACAGGATATATAATTATGTCTGAATTCATCACATCAGTGCTTGTCTGGTCTACTTAGATTAGGGTTTTCATCATTTATAGTGCTGTATATGACAGGATCTTCAGGTTTAGAGTAGATCTGCATTTCACACAAAACAATACAGAAAAAATATCAAGAAATCAACATGTGACTCATTTAATAAACTACAGGTTCCATGGCCAACCCAATGCTTCCTGGGATGTCATTTTGTGGCTGTTTTCCTGTTCACTATACATGACTTCACATGAAAGAAATATGTAAAAATGTACATGCAAATGTAAAACACTGCTACAAAAATGTACTGTACAGTGTCAAACAGTGACATCTTTATCCAGGTATGTAATTTATCAGACACAAATAAGAAACACACCATGGCAGGCGTCAGTTTAAAAGTAGAGCCGTTGCCAGGAATAGCCATCTAACTGATATCTGTATACGACAGTTGGCAGTCAGTGCCAACAAAAAATACAATAAAAATGAAATGGTGAATAAACATCCAAACATTTTGACCAGTGCAGCTCACACAATGACAAGTAAACTTAATTTTGTTGGCACTGATTAATTTACTGGCACAATAACTATGTTTTGAAGCACAAATTAAATGTTTTGGGTGCGTTACTTCTAGATTTTGTGGACAGAGTTCTGAAGTCCCATAAAACAGTTCAGAAAATTGCACTTACATAATAGAATGTTAATTCTACTCTGAATTAACGTTGAAGTAATGTTGAATTTAGAGAATGTTAAAGATGGTTTCAAAAAATAAGCCAAACTGAACACTGATGTTGTCAAACAAACATTTTCATAAGTAGTTTCTCATAAACGAAATGACTTACTCTGTCAATGGTTGTGCTGCTGTTTCTCTCTCTGATTTGGTGTTGGTCTTGCTCTTCATTTAAAAAAAAGAGAAACAATAACATTACATTAACAATTGATATACAGAAATTGTGCTTTTGAAATATATTATAAAATGGAATTGAATGAAATGAATTATTAAACAAACAAAAAAACAAAAAACTTTTTCCCCAAACTGACTGGGTCTCCGTCTCAATCTCCAGGTGAAAACATCGATCAGAATCAATAACAGCAGAAGCGCAGCTGAAACTGGAAGCCACACATTCAGGAGTTCATTATCTCTGTGAGAAATAAAGAAACATTTTAAAATCTTTTCAAAGAGTTTTTTTTAAATGATGTGGGACTAAATCGGCTGCATAAATGGCACCAGAAAATAAGAAATATCTGAAATATTTCAGCCTAATAGTCATAGAATTAGTTTAAGCTTTATTTATTTTAAAGAATACAGATGTAGTACTTTTGTGGTTTGTCAATGACTTCATTTGTATTATTATTATACTTGTGATGTCCTGTTGCACTTCTGCAAAGATTAGAACAAAAAACAACAGAAAAGAAAAATCATGTAGGCAATGAAGAAATGATTGTTAGAGTAAAAGGAACAAGAAATTGAGGAAATAGTGCATGATAACAAAATGCAGACAAATACAGATCCATTCCACGAAGATGATTCTGAGAAATGTCAATGAGAAATGTTTGAATACTGACGTGTATTTCTCTGTCT